TATTTTTTTTAATAAATTATTTCAAAGTATTCTAGTTTTCCACATAGGAACACAAGTACAGTTACAAAGAGTCCTCAATGTTTCAAAATAGATATTTAGAATAATAATTGTCTCTCATTTTTATCTTGCTAAAATTATTGCTTTCATTATTCAATAAATACTTGCATAGATTTGCAAAAGAAATACCCAAACATATGAATTTCAAAACAGAAAACTGAGCCACAAGAAATGATTACAGAAATTTTAAAACACTATGGATTCATAAATGCAGAAGATTAGCTGTCTTCACTAAATATTTTTTCTAAAGAAACAACTTATGGCTGTAAACCAAAACAAAACACTCGGCAAAACATTTAAAAATAATGGAGGTGGAGATAATTACAGTTCTCTCTCGGGCAAATTATGGTCATTTGTTTACAACTCACAATTTTAATGAAATATAACACATGTGGTCAAGAATATTTTTTGAGTGTATGATCTGATAGGGTTGCCTTACCAAGGAATGAAGAATTGCTTCGGTTCATTGAAGAAATAGAATTCTATGTCTTCTTTTGTCTGTGAACCACTTTAATGAAGGTACTTCTCTGTTACTCACCTGAGGTTATACCAGCAATGTCTAACACTGTTACCCTGGGGAATCTAGGACATCAGCACACTAGTAAACTCTCTGCTAAAGAACATCTCCCTTTACTTTCAAGTGTTCTACTAAGTTGTGGCTATAAATCAAAATGTGTCATTTTTAATGCTGCCATACATTCTAGGTCTTACAAATAAGCTGAAAAGGTATGGAGAAAGAACACATCTAATAGTTGAGAATATAGGCCTCTGAAATTAGTACTCATTTTGAAACCTACTTTTGCCACTTGTTTTGTGAATGCAAACCAATTTCCTAACATCTCTAACCACTAGTGTTCTAATTTGTGAAGGCTCTTGATGAGTAGGATTGGCAGTGATTGCAGCAATGAGCTCAAGTGTGTCAAAGATGATAAGGATGGCAAAGAATAGGACAGGGTTCAGATCTGTTGTTCATAGTCTTACTATGTGTTGTACTTGATTTTATTGCACTTAACAATAAAAAGGGGCCACCAAATATTACAACTCACAGAGGCCCTATGAACAGAAGTAGATGGGAAACATGGTTTATCCTGTACCATCATACCTGAGTCAACTGTTATAATCACTTGTCAATTTAACTCTTAGATGTTACCTAGAGATCCAAGTAAAATGAAATCATTGACAATATCATTCTTTCTTCCATCTAGCATGATGTTATCTATTGGTCCAATAGTAAGATTTTTTGTCTTCTGACCACCTGCAACACAGGTTTCAAGTCCTCTTCACTTTCTGTAAGCAAGGTTCTGTCAACTACATAATAGGTTAACAACTTCTTATGCCACATTCTTCCTGATAGAATGCAGCTTCTCAAATTATTTTGCTCTACACACAGATTGAATAGTTATGGAGAAAAAAAATACAACCCTGATGCACACCTTTCTAATTTTAAACCATGCTGTTTGTGTTCCCTTGTTCTGCTCGAAGAACTGCTTCTTAGTCTATACGTATGCTTGGCAAAGTACAAAAAGTGATCTGGCATTTCATTCTTCTCAATTTACTATGATCCACACACTCAAATGCCTTTGCATAGTCAATGAAACACAAACATCTTTCATGTATTCTCTGCTTTCAGCCAAGATCCATCTGACACAGCAACAATATCCCTGATTCTATATTGTTGTTAGGTGTTATAGAGTCTATTATGACTCATAACAACCTGATGGACAATGGATGAGAATCTTGCTTTATCCTGTGCCATCCTCATCATCTTTGATATACGTGAGTCCATTATTAGAGTTAACTGCTACACTCATCTCCTTGAGGGTCTTCCTATCTTCCACTTAACTCTCCACCTTTCCATAAGCTCTACTAAATCCAGCTTGAGTTTCTGACACTTCCCTTCTGGTGCACTGTTCCAGTAATGTTAAATAACTATCAGCAAAATTTTACTTGCATGTGGTATTAGTAAAATAGTTGTATAATTTCTACACTTTATTAGAGCACCATTTTTTTGGAATAGGAACAAACATGGATCTCTTCCCATCAGCTGGTCAGGCAGCTGTCTTCTAAGAAATTTCTTGGTTTAGGTTAATGAATATCTGTTTGTTGAAACACATCAATTGGCATTCCATCAATTTTTTATGCATTTTTTTTTCAATGCCTTCAAGGCAACTTCCTTTGACTATCTTATGGCACTAAGAGTTAAAATTAATTTTGTACCTATAACCTTTAATATAACATCACCCTCAGTAAGTGCCCCAACAATGGTATTTATTCATGTAAGTCTTAGAAGTAATACTAAAGTAATTTTACATGCCATCTATTCTCTCACAGAGAATTCTTTTTTTAGAAAATAGTCAAAAAAGCAATATTATGTATGAAGTTCATGTTAAGGAACAGGATCCCAGCATATTTCAATCACTCACTAATCTGCATTTTTTAGTAAAAAATTGATACCATGTGCTTCACAAGGAAGGGATCAGCATATAACAGACAAAGAAACAACAATTCACTTATTGAGCACAACTAGTACAACCACCATCTTCCAAGCACTATAAAAACCTATTGTCATCCAGTCAATTGAACTCACAGCAACTCTACAGAACAGAGTAGACTGTCTCCCAGGGTTTCCAAGGCTGTCATCTTTAAGGGAGCAGTAACTCTCTATGGTTTATTGGAAAGACCATACATAAATTATAACAATATTACAAAGCAACATACGATATGAAGTCACAGAAGCAGTCACTTAAGAATTTTGAGAATTAGGATAAAAGTAACACTGAATAAAGTCATAAATGAGATAGGACTTAACTAAATTTTTAAGAAAAAGAAGTACTTAGATAAGCAAAGGGAAGAGAGGAGAAAGATCATGAGAAATAAAAGCAATACCATGCTGGAAAATAATGAAGATATCTAGGTGGATTATGAAAAGAAACCAAAGAAAAAAACAGAAGGGTAGAGTAAAATCAGAGAACTGAATGCCAGAATATGGATTCTACAGGGTGTATTCCCAATAGTGGAATTGCTGGGTCAAATGGTATTTCTATTTCCAACTTTTTGAGAAAGCGCCAGACCACGTTCCAGAGTGGATGCACCATTTTACATTCTCACCAGTTGTTTATAGGGGTTCCAATCTCTCCACAACCTCACCAGCATTTGTTGTTTACTGCTCTGCTGAACTTTGCTATTGCTGCTGGGATGAGATGATATCTCACAGTTGTTTTGATTTGTATCTCTGATAGCTAGGGATTTTGAACATTTCTTTACTTACGTGTTTGTTATTTGAGTATCTTCTTTGATGAAAACCAGAGACATCACCCAAACAGATGTATGTATACTCATGCTTATTGCTGCATTATTCACAATAGCAAAGAAATGGAAGCAACCCAAGTGCCTCTTAGCTAATGAATGGACAGAATAACTATGGTATACATTCATACAATGGAACACTAAGCAGCACTGAAAAACAATGAACTCATAAACATTACACAACATGGGTGGCCCTCTAAGGACATTATGCTGAGCGAAATTTCTTGGTCACAAAAGGACAAATACCATATAACACCACTGTTATAAAGCAGGAGTGTTATAGGGGCTGGGAGAAACAAAGAAGAGTGGCTAGATAACAAAGCCTGCATTGGAACACATAAAATAAAGAAATATATGATCAGGTATTATATGTACGCCCACAATCCAGAATAAGAAATGCAATGCAAAGTAGACTGGAAAAGGTGAAAGAAAGGGGCCTGGATGAAATTTTTTTTAAAAAAAGAAAGTGAACTGGGGTAGAGAGGAAAATGTGCAACAATGGATGAATGAAAATCCGATTTTTCTGTAAACTTTTCTTAAAATAACAATTTAAAAAAAAGAATATAGGTTCTAGAGTTTATACCTTCAATTACTGGTTTCTACTTAATGGCCTGACTGTTGCTACATCAGATACACTTGGAAAATTTTATAAACACAATTATTGAGTCTCACCCTAGAGATTATGAAGGTTAGATCAGAATCTGTATCTAAGCAGAGCTCCCAGGTGATTCTGAGGCATAGCCAGGCTTAGGCTCCACTGTTCTAGGCAACAGCAAGTTAATCTGTGTTTTGTATTTTTTTAAAGATTGAGTGTGACATAAATACAAGAGTCTTGAGGGTATTTCCATTTTTAGCTTGAATAATAAAACGTGGCATTTTTATTTACAATTTCCACTTCTCCTTTCCCTCAAAGACTTATTTCATAAGAGACCTGGGTTTCCTGCACATCTAGACATACTTTTACCTTTCCCTGGAACAAGTTTTTGTTTGATTTTCATAAGATAAGTGCACAAATATAAGTGGTCAAGATCCTAGTAAGAACTGGAAAGCAATGTTATTATATACTGTGTGAAATGGTGATGACTTGGCCTAAAATGTCATTAACAAGAATGCAATGACGTGAGAGATCCAAATCTTAACATTATCAAAGTTTAGTAAGAAACATCTTTCACTCTCTCTCCTTCATTCATTCACTTTGTCAGACACACACACACATGCACACAGTCATGTACAAAAATGTTCTATAGAACCTTTAAAAGAGACAAAGAATTTTTTTCTAGAGGAAAAACACTCAGCTGTGTCTTATGGGGAAAAGTGATAAACTTGGTTTCAGTAAAATGAAAAAATAGCTCTCTGAATGAAATCAATATCAAAGAATAATACTGAAATATTATCAGTAATAAGACAGTAATCATATCTGTTAAATAGACAAAACACCTGAACTGACATTTCACATAAGAAGATATATGAAAGGCCAATGAGCACACCAAAAAATGTTCAGCATCATTAGCAATCAGGGAAATGTAAATAAAGGCACAATTTATAATACCACTACATTTTAATTAAGTAGGAATTCCTAAAACGTTAAATTCTCTAACTACCTGTTTGAAAATATTTTTAAAACTTTAAGTTCTTACCCTGGCTATGAGGACTTGCTGGACTAAGAGTTGGCTGATGCAAATCTTTGGTGGACATTGGACACACTTCTTTCCCTTGGCGTTGTTGACTCATCTTTCCTGGTGTCAGAAGTTGAGATTCCTCGCTGTTTGCTACCACAGCTCAAGGAAAGAAAGGAAAAAAGAATTAGTATTTAAGTCAAAGATTCAGACAACTTCACAGTTAATACAACGCAATAGAATTATGGTTGACAAGGTCTCAGTTATTACATTTATTTTACAAATACACTATTTTAATAAAGACATAGGCTTTCTCTTTGGCATTTTGGTTTGCTATCAGTTCAAAAAGACCTAACAAGCAGGATACATGTACAGTTTTCTAAGTGGAAAGTCTTTCATTTGCTCCTTTCACTAAAATGCTTGTCTGTCAGATGTTGTTCCAAGGATAAGCATCCAAATTAAGACAGACTAGAAAAGACTGACCATCCACTTCTGAAATATAACAGGCCTTCGAAAACTCTGTGTATAATAATATAAGATCAACAGACGAAAATCAGTTGCATTTCTCTACAGTGACAAAGAGAATATAGAAACAAAGTTAAGAAAAACAATGCCTATCACAATAGCTAATCACAAGATTAAATACCTGGGAGCAAATTTATCTAGAGACACAAAAGGCTTATACAACGAAAATTACAAAACATTAGAGCATTGAACATCCTATGGATGGTCAAACGTCTTGGAGACAGTACAGACAGAGTGTTTTTTTTGGAGGCAAGAATGATGAGGCTTTACCTCACATAAGGAATGTTGCTAGGAGGGGCTATTCCTTGGGGAAGACCATGATGCTTGAAAGGGTGGGGGGTCAGCGAAGAAGAGGAAGACCCTCAACAAGGTGGATTAATACAGTGACTGCTGCAATGCGCTCTAGTGCGTCAGGAAGTGTGAAGACAGAACAGGATAGGACAGGGTTCAGATCTGTTGTTCAGAGAGTTGATATGAGTTATACTCAACTCAACGGCACCTAACAACAACTACTATTACAATAAACAAAAAGAGTGACTATGGGTGACTGGAATGCAAAAGTTGGGAATAGTGAAGAAGAATCAGTAGTCGGAAAACATGGGCTTGGTGACAGGAATGAGGCTGGAGACAGAATGATTGAATTTTGTAAAATCAATGACTTATTCATTGCAAATACATTTTATAAGAGACACAAACGCAGGTTATACACATGGACTTCACCTG